CGATCTCTTTTATCGTTGTGTTGCTCCATCACAAACTACATTAGCTTTGACAATTACTCCAAACCGTTCGAAGTAACTTATGAGACTTTCGGTTCTGGTAATCCAAAGCAAACCTGCCACAAAAAATTTTGTTTCTCTATCGTTTGGTTGGAACAAGGCAAAAGAAATTAGAATTTGCTTGGACATGAGTAGAATAAGTTAAAGGTATGCAATGATTTTTTTACAATTGTCTCTCTATATATAAGAAGAAATACACGAGAATCCTTCGTGAACTAGGATTTGGAGAAAATATTTTTCTTTTGATAAAAATGGAGAAAAACATTGTTTATTTTATTCAAATTCTTATAGGATTTTGCATAAGATACATTCAAAAGAAAAATTAAATTGGATAATTTCTAGAAATTTCTTCTTTAAATCAGTTAAGCCAGCACCGTTTAGATAATAAAATTTAAAAAAATTATTAAAAAAAAAAATTTCATAATGCGGCGTAAATTATAATAAAATACAAGAATTTTCGTTCAACCGTTTAACTAACATTTAAATAGATAAAAAGGTTCTAGTAATGTTTTTTGTTTTATTAGTTATGGAACTGATAGACTTGGTCAACCTCTAAAGGGTAACAACAAACAACAAAAATTAGGTCAATCGCAATTCTGTTTGTTTTTTGGATTGACTTCCAATCGCAAATAGTCTTAGTGATCACCATTAATACACTAAGTAGGTTTCATCATGATATACCACGAAGTATTAGACAAGCCATAGGGTTTGGATCAAAAAGTCGGTCCAAAATTAATGTTTTATGTACAAGAACCGACCTATTGTACACACGTGTTAGCATCTTCAAGACTTCATCTCTAATTTTCTTTTGTTCATTAAGATACCCATTGATCCGAATCTGTTACATTCCCACCTACTTTTTTACTATCCACTCCAAATTAAACACAACCCATGATTTTAATAATTGAAAGCCTTTAAAAATATTTCAAAAGCAGCCTCTTTGTGTTTGTCTATATATAAACACATTATAAGAAGGTGAATGAATCTCACAGCTTACAATTACGAACATAGTAATGAAGAAGAGACTAAGCTTGAAGCAAATCTTGGTGACTCTCTCCAACCTCGGTGTATGTTTGTGCGTAAAACATATTGATAGTAACAAGATTCAAGATTCTAACACAGAGATCAAGAACGGATCTCTATGTCCCCAAGACGATTCGGCTATCGAAGGAAGAAGGAGAATCAAAGTGGTGATAACTAGGAAACAGCTGGAGCGCTTGTTGGCGAAGCAAGTTTCATTGGAGCAGCTTGTTTTTGTGAATCAGAGAACCTCTCTCAGTTGTTTTGACGACAGTAAGTGGATCCCAAGGCTTGAATCTATCCATGAATCACCTGAATTGTAAAATTTTGGGTTTTAGATGTTTCTTCAGACTTTGCGGCTCATGGTGTTGTATATATCATAAAGTCTTTTTGTAACTTCAGTGTTATTTAACTGAATAAGTTTACAAGAATAGGAGAACAGAGCAAAAACAGGGGAAACAGAACAAGAACAGGCGAAAACAAGGTTTAATCCAATGATCGATCGATGAATTTCTTTCCATATGTTTCTTTCAGATTTAATATGATAAAAGATGTAAAGAAACACAGAAATATTATGATATGCTCAAAGCAAAAAGTTGTTACTCTAAAAAATGTTTGAAACACAATATAACAATGAAAACTCCAGAACGTTTTGTTACTTCTAGTTTCCTGAATCAATCATAAACATTGGTCATAGTGCTTTCTTTTCTTATCACATATGACTTTACCTGTAACAAGATCATGTTCTTTCTTTTCACTTGTCAACCTCTCCTCTTCTTGCACACAGTGAGAGATGAGATCATGAGTCGACCATTCCAGTTGGAGACGGTTATAAGTACTCCTAAGAATTTCATAGTCCGAGGGTAGACTATCGAGTATAAAAGCTGCCACGACATTATCAGGAATATGCATCCCGAGTTTCTTCAACTTAGCTGCAACGCTCATCTTCATCATAATATACTCTCTAACACTCTCATTCGTTTTTTTCGTTGACCGAAACTCGGCTAGCACCGTTCTGACCTCTGCCCCGTCCTTTTTCGCATAGCATTTCTCAACTGCAGCCAAAACTTCTTTGGCGGTTGTAACATCCTTGGGGACAATGCCTCTGAATTTTGGTGGGATTCGGGTTTTCATTATCATCATACTCATGCGGTTGGATCGGTCCCAACGCTCGGTTTTGACAATGTCAATGTGCTTCGGACGCTCTTCCCTGAGGGAAATATCAAGATCCATGAGGGCAAGCACAAGTAACAAATGTTCTTTCCATTCCGAAAAGTTTGAACCATTTAGCATCGGGATCGACTCGACATTGAAGAAACAAGATGTAGATCCCAACACTGAAAATAAGAAGTAAGATTGTGTCACACACAATATCAAATTTGGAATACATAGGATAAGAGAGAAACATATAATAATGGCTTAAAACATTCTGACAAAATTGAAAACCCCTATAAAAGATGCCTTTGTCACCTTACAATTAGGGTTTGGAGATAAGATAGCAAAAGATATAATTCAATGGACCATTCAAAACATGGGGTTTCCAAAATCAAGACAATACTTAACCAAAAGTGGAATCTAACTAGAGACAAATCTCCCGGAACTGATGCAAAATCAAGTGCTTAATGACCAGACAAAACGGAAAAGCATAAAAATCACAAAATACCCTACTAATCTTCATGTCCAAGCTTAGGGTTTGAAGATCCACTACAATTTACAAAACGAAAGGTTTTTACATCAAAATTGATATGTCTTTTCCCAAATCACCACATATCTAGAAGAGGAACATGGTTAATAAACTGATCATAAAGGCACGAAGCGAGAAATACTACATCAACCTCCATTACAGACATATCGTAATCAGTCAAAACTCGTAAAACACTAATTACAAAAGTATCGATAACATAGACGATTACCTGGATTCATGACTGCAAAAATAGTAAAACCCTAATTACTGCGATTGCCAAGTTTGGGATATCTCCACACTAATGGACTTTGAGGGTAACGAAACCAAACCTATCATCAAATTGTAACCGTCAATGGAATTTAATGACGTGTTAATAGGTTTAGCCGTTTAGATTTATTGTAACATTTGGTTACTAATTGTCCCAACAATTGTATATTCAAAAATTATAAAGTTAAACATGTTGTGAAACTTATTGTTATCTTATTCCATTCCATGAATAATGATACATATATATAGGCATATAAACCTAGGGTTTTAGAATACATAATGAATAACCCTGATGGGCTTATTGGGCCCGGTTATAAGTCCAATATGATGTATTATAACACTCCCCCTTAGACGGAGTAACCGGACCTGATGGTCAATCGGGATCTCGATAATACGCTGGGGAATGTTGCCTCATTAAAACCTTACCAGGAAAACCCAGTGGGAAAAACCATGGTGAAGGAAAAAGAGTACAACACGCATTACTCCCCCTGATTAGAGCATCACCGTAGATCTCTAAGTCTACGCATTCCTATTTGTTGGATGAGCTTCCGGAGTGTTGAAGCGGGCAATGATTTGGTGAAAAGGTCGGCGGAGTTATCGCATGATCGGACCTGTTGAACGCTGATCGTACCATCCTTCTGCCAATCCGAGGTTGAGAAGAATTTCGGTAGGATGTGCTTCGTCCGATCTCCTTTGATATAACCTTCCTTGAGTTGAGCAATGCAAGCCGCGTTGTCTTCAAACATAACCGTGGGCTCCTTATCTTCTTTCATACCACAATCTGATCGGATGTGCTGAGTCATGGATCGTAGCCAAACACATTCTCTGCTGGCTTCGTGAATGGCCAAAAGTTCTGCATGGTTTGATAAAGTGGTAGTGATTGTCTGCTTTATCGATCTCCAAGAGATAGCTGTTCCTCCATGCGTGAACACATAACCAGTTTGAGACTTGGCATTGTGCGGATCTGATTGATATCCTGCATCAGCAAAACCAACTAGTCCATCCTTGTTGTGGTTAGTGTAAAACAGTCCTAAGTCTTTAGTACCTTGAAGGTATCTTAGGAGGTGTTTGATACCATTCCAGTGCCTCTGAGTTGGACATGAGCTGAAGCGAGCTAGGAGGTTCACGGCAAAACAAATGTCTGGTCTAGTGTGACTAGCCAAGTACATTAACGCTCCTACAGCACTGAGGTATGGCTTTTCTGGACCGAGAATTTCTTCATTGGGCTGTTCAATGGGTGGCCCTGGTCCATATTGAATCGCTTGAGTACTTTTTCAATGTAAGCCGCTTGATGCACAAGGATTCCTCCTTTAACGTACTCAAGTTGTAAACCCAAACAGAATTTAGTTTTACCTAGGTCTTTCATTTCGAATTCTGCTTTCAAGCAGTCGACTGTTTGGGAGATTTCACCAGATGTTCCGAGGATGTTTAGGTCATCCACGTAAACTGCTATGATTACAAATCCTTTGTTTGAGTATTTCTTGATGAAAATGCATGGACTGATGGGATCATTTTTGTAGCCTTCTCTGATGAGATATTCGCTTAACCGGTTATACCACATACGTCCACTTTGTTTCAGTCCATACAAGGATTTGTTCAGCCTGATGCAGTATTGATCTCGAGATGCATGCTTATCTTTAAGCTCTATGCCATCTGGTAATCTCATGTATATTTCATTGTCGAGGGGCCCATAGAGATATGCGGTGACAACATCCATTAACCGCAAATCTAGATTTTCTCTTATGGCCAGACTTATGAGGAATCGAAAAGTAGTTGCATCCACCACCGGAGAATAAGTCTCCTCATAATCGATTCCGGGTCTCTGTGAGAATCCTTGTGCTACAAGCCGTGCTTTATAACGAACGACTTCACCGAGTTCGTTTCTTTTACGCACAAAGACCCATTTATGGCCCACTGGTTTGACATTGAATGGTGTCCGGATGATCGGACCAAACACATTCCTGAGTTTGAGACTCTTTAACTCCACGTTTATGGCTTCTTTCCATTTTAGCCAGTCTGTTCTATGAGTGCACTCTGTGATAGACGTGGGTTCTAGATCCTCTTGCGTGTTCGCAATATCAGGTGCTACTTTGTATGCAAAGAGTGCATTTAAGTCGACTTCTTTTCTGTTCCATTGGGTTCCAAACATGTTGTAATTGATAGAGATCTCATCGTTATCGATCTCATCAGAACCTAGAGATTCGGCGTCCCGAACCTCTTCTGGTGGTTCATTAGAGTGAGTCTCAGCGCGCGCTATGTCTGTTATATTGGGAATCCCGGTTTCAACTATTGCACCTTTCTTTGATTTCCGTGGATTCTTGTCTTTGGAACCTAGAGGTCTGCCACGTTTATTTCGTGATGCAGACTCTGTAGCAACTTGAACTTGTCCCGTTGGAACAGTGATTCGTACTGGTGCATTACAAGCTGGTATGTACGATTTGGTTACTTTGTTCGGGTCAGCAAAGGAATCTGGCAATTGATTAGCTAGCTTTTGATAGTGTATAATCTTTTGGATCTCCGAATCACATTCTAGAGTCCGAGGATCTTGCCAATTTAAGGATGTTTGATTCCATGATAGCTCTTTGACCAGCTTGTGTTTCTCTCCACCCAATGTTGGATATACCGATTCATCAAATTGGCAATCCGCATATCTGGCCTTAAATAGGTCTCCAGTGGTCGGCTCGAGATATTTGATGATGGTGGGAGAATCAAAACCAACATATATTCCCATCCTCCTTTGAGGTCCCATTTTGGTTCTATGTGGTGGAGCAATGGGTACATAGACTGAGCACCCAAATGTTTTGAGATGGGAGATGTCTGGCTCATGACCCTGTAATAATTGGGATGGGGAATATCTATGCTCACTAGATGGTCGGATGCGTATTAGTTCAGCAGCATGTAATACTGCATGTCCCCAAGCTGAGACCGGGAGTTTCGACCTCATGAGTAATGGTCGAGCAATCCATTGGATTCGTTTAATGAATGATTCAGCAAGTCCATTCTGAGTATGGACATGTGCCACAGGATGTTCAACGGTCACCCCCATGGCCATACAGTAATCATTAAACGCTTGGGAAGTGAATTCACCAGCATTATCAAGACGTATAGTGCTGAGGTGCTGAGGGAAGACTCGGTTTTCTCGAAGGGTGTGTCTTTGAGAACTTTGGATTAATTTACGCATCATGGTTGTACCGGGATGACCAAGCCGGTCGTGCCAAATAGTGTAGTCTTGGAACCGGGCTTTGAGAGCATTATTAGCCTCAATCATACTAACCTTGGCATAGTAAAGGCCAGTAGATAAAGCGGGTATAGTCTCGAGGACTTGTTTATGGCCAAGTGTGATCTTAGTGATCAGTAGGGATTCTTTATTCCCTTCACCCTGGGTTTCTATGTGGAAACCATTAAGTCTGATATCTTTAAAACTTAAAAGGTTTCTTTTTGAGCTGGGTGAGTATAATGCATCTGGAATGTCCAGATGTGTGCCGTTTGATAACAACACATGGGCCTGGCCGTGGCCTTCTATTAAGTTCGAGCTACCCGTTATTGTGCTAATATTCGCGGTTTGCATGATTAAATTTATGAAATAACTCTTGTCTTTGAGGATAGTGTGGCTGGATCCACTATCCACCACTATGATATCCTTTTGAGTGTTCATATCTTCAATTTAAACAAGAGGTATGATTTAAAAATGAGTAAATCATAAGATTCATAAATTAATAAAATATCAAAATGTCTGAAAATAAATAGCAAATGAAAATAAAACAGATCCCCAAAATGAAAAGAAACAAAATCAAAATAAGCAAGTGTTCAGATGATAGAATCAATCGAGGAGATCTGAGGTCTCGTAGTCCATGAGATCGGTCGGCTCGGCGGTGGTGTCGTTAGCATCAACTTGCTGGGCCATGTTAGCTTCAGCAGGTGCTTTCCCATGTTTCTGATACAAATCGCAATGAAACTTGGGAGTACGACAGTTCTTTGTCCAGTGATTGAACATTTCGCATCTGGTACAGGCAGACTGATTGGTTGGGTGGGCAGGGCGGTTTGGTTTAGAGATACCACGGCCTTTACCGGAACCATAACTGAGGTTATGTCGGTTGCCACGTCCGTTTCCGCGTCCACGCTTTCCACGTCCATTCCCACGTCCATTCCCATGTCCATGGCCACGATCTGAGGATCTGTCTCGCTGGACATTGTAGGATTCTTTGCAGGAATCTGGTACTGGAGCCGATCCTGGGGGCCTCTTGGCACTGTTCCTCATTAACAGGTCATTGTTTTCTCGGCCAAGAGCAAACAGGATAACAAATCTTCGTACAATGTATGTTTCATTGCACGATATTGTTGCTGAAGCACAATATTTTGGGTATGGAAGGTGGATAATGTTTTCTCGAGGAGATCATTATCAGACACCTCTTCACCACATAGTTTCATGATTGAAACTATCCGAAAGAGTTCGGAGTTGTAGTCATCCACAGATTTGTAATCTTGGAACCGGAGTTCCTTCCAGTCAAACTTGGCTTGTGGTAAGAGCACCGTTTTCTGGTGATCATACCATTTTTTTAGGGCCACCCAAAGTTCGAGTGGGTTCTCAAGAGTGAGATATTGCTGTTTGAGGCTTGCGGCCAAATGATGGCGGATATGAAATATCGCCTGGGACCGGTCTTTATCAGATGCGGTGTTATCCGCTTTGATACACTCACCCAGTCCCTTTGAGTTGAGGAAAATCCTGGTGTCCATGGCCCATTTGAGATAGTTTTCACCGGAGACCTTGAGGGCCTCGAACTCGACTTTCTGAATGTTTGACATCTGAAACATGAAATTGATTTCATTAGGGGTTTGTTAAAAGGATAGTTATATGAAAATAATTAAATTTTCTATTTGAGGAAACTTTATATTTGAGGAAAGTTTCTAATTTGGGAAACTTTCTAAAAGAGGAAAGTTTTCATTCCGGGTCATTTGCTATTTGAGGAAAGTTTCTATTTTAGGAAACCTTCTAAATGAGGAAAGTTTCTATTTAAGGAAAATTTCTATTTTAGGAAACCTTCTAAATGAGGAAAGTTTCTATTTT